CATGTAATACAAGTACGCGCGTAGGGTAGAATGCCCCAATTATCTTCCTACGAATGTCACATGACTTGAGTATCTCAGTAACTTGTAAGGCCCCAACCATTTGGTACGATCTAGATTTGACTTATTCTGTACTCCTCTGTATCAGCTTATGTTCCCATTCAATTCTTGATCAATACCAAACATTTGGATTATATATAGCACTTTAAAGAGAACAATTATTGAACTAACTTCACTTTCTACGATTCTTTTATGAGAAATGCTAAGGAGTCTCTCAAAGTGGGATTTTTTATAGACTCTTTGTTACCTCATTTTTTTAGCATACTATTTTATAATGTTAGTATGGGATTTATACAAAACACATGAGGTGGTAGAAAGTTATATAAAATCTCACTTTTGAGAGTCTTCTTAGCATTTCTCTTCTTCTTGGTGAAGGTGGTGAAGTGGGAAAGGGATCCTCTCCGAATTCCTTCCACTTAATCCTCCCCATCAAACAATCTGGACTCTTGAAATTTGATCAAACAGCTAAAAACATGGGCCCACTTTAAAAATTATAATAACTTTAGCCGTTAGATCAAATTTCAAAGGTCCAGATTGTTTGATAAGGATGATTAGATGGAAGAGATCTGGAGATAATCTCCTTCCGTGAAGGTGCATCCTATACTTCATAAAAAACAATTCATTTTTGGTCGGCACTCGACACTAGGCCAAATCCTATCTGCTCATTATTTTTAAAAGTAATTAATATGCCTTTCAAAATTAAGTCATTAAAACAACTGAATATCTTTCACTAGTATTGTAAGTGGTATATACTTCTCTTAACGCATGAGTGAGAGATTTTGAATTTAATTTTCAGAAAAACATCGTTGCTAAACTATTATTGGTCCGAATCTAGCTTGGAAATGCTTCAATCTACCAATTATTTGATATGTGGAAGATTAATTTGGTTGTGAATGCCATTGACCGAATACATGATCTGAATCCTTTCCTATTTATGTGATTGGTTCGTTATATTTGCTAACGTTATATGATTTGAATCCTAACAAGTGGTTCATTGTAGAATTTTGAACAATCTCAATATCGCACAACAGTGAATTCGCTTTTCTCTTTATACTAGTGAGAATTTTTTAGGGTTTGATAGTCCTTTTGATTCTATCCACGATGGTCTACTGGAAGACAATTATATATATAGTAAACTAAGTTTTATCAATAAAATTACCACTTTTAACTTGTTTCTAAAAAAAATAAACAGCATTAACTTTTAGAAAAAGTATTTGACATTTTATTTTTGAAAAAGTAATCACAAATTTAAGCCATGAAATATGGGAAATAATTGAAGAAAATATATAGATCACTTAATTGAAAGCTCCAATCCTCCATGCTTTGTAGTGTTGTCAACTTGATATTTCGACACCCAAGATTAGAAAATAAGAAGAAGACAAACTGAGCCCTGTCGGGGCAGAGTTGCTTGAAATAAATTACTCACCTTAACAGGAGAAACTTGAGTTATGTTGAGTGACGCGAATTTTTTATTTTTTTTAATAAACGATATTATTTGAGAAAAGATGAATTTAGTCTCATAATAAGTTAATAATAATATGGTTCAAATTTATTTTTGGCGAAAATCTGATATAAGTTCTCTTACGTACAAGTAAAGAGAAATACAACTAGACCATATTACTAAGTGACAAGCGATGAAATTTTAAGTCTAAAAAAAATAAAATAAAATTAGTAAGAAATGAATTACGAAATTTTAAATAGAAGGAATTGAAAATATTCTTCATGAGAATTATATATCCAAACAAAATTTAGACTGAAAGATGATTGTTATTTGTTTAATAGACCACTGCTTAGAGTCTTTTAACCCCCAAGATCCAGTAAAAATTCATTTTAAATCTCCTGTTGGCATTCATTTATATTGTCGTTGAATTTTGTTTTTGTCGAAAAGTAATTGTTACATAAACTGCTCCAGCCATTCTGAGCTTTTAAGCATTTTTAAGATAGCTTAAATGTTAAAATAGTATATGTGTTTTAGTCATTGGATTAATTTAATACCTGTGTTTTTAATTTAGCCGATTTGGTCTTCTATTTATCTCCGTTAGCAAATTAAAGACATTTTCATTTAATTTTTGTAATTTTTTTTATAAATGATTTATAAAATTATAATTTATTTGATTTAAAATGAAATAAAATTTAAAAAGTAAAGGAAAAATTATTCTCCTCCCAACTCTCCAACCTCATCCCTAACATTAGCCCTCTCTTTTTTATGTCACAAGCTCAATCATTTTTCAGATTGGAAGTTTTATTTCTTATATGTGTTTATCCCATTGATTTTCATTTTTTTTTTGTAAAGAGAAATGGTAATTATTTCTCATATGATTTTTCTTATAATTTTTTTTTAAAAGAGATTGAATAAAATGTCCTTAATTGGCTAACAAATACAAACACAATGAATGTGACAACCCGTCCCAAATTTTATTATTTTAGAAATTTTAAAAGTATGATTTTATGATGATGCCCTAGAGGTGAAGGGTTTTTTTACTTTCATTTACCAACGTGTAGTGAGACGTATGGAATTCTTTTAGCGCATTCCTGAAGTACTCGACAATACGGGCTCGTAGGCGCAAACAGAAGAGGATTTGGAGTTACGGTTAAAGTTTTACGGAACTGTAAACCCGAGAAGTATTTTGGTTTTAGTTAATATTTATACTTATATATGTATATATTTTTATATTAGAATGATTAGAATATGGGAAAGAAAGAGGGCAGTCGGGAAGGAAGAAGAAAGGAAAAATGGGATTGGGCAAAACTGCCCAATCTGAAAGAAGAATGAGGGGACGAATCAGGAGAAGAGAGAAGGAGAATCTGAACAATCAGAAAGAGAAGAAAGAAGGAGAAAGGAGGGAAGGGAGAAACGGGGAATCACGACCCGCAAATTGGTAACCCGGCCCGATCGGTGTTCTTGCCATTTCTGACTAGTTTTGGCCCATTTTTCCGACGAATTGCATCAAACCAACCCTTGTAAAACCCTCCACGACCTTCCCTCTATCCATTCCATCTCAAATTTGGAGATATTTGGCCTTGAAAATGGAGGAACACGCAAGGAGGTGTGCGGCCGCTTTGGCTTTGAATCACCCAATCCCAAAGCAATTTCTTTCAATTGCCACCACCCATGGAATCCTCTTGAGGCCTAGAACAAATCCCAAGCAATGGTTGGGACGACGGAGTTGTTTTGGAGTGTGATCGAACACACTCACAACTAGGGTTTCCGACGGGTTTTGATGAAATTGGAGCCTTTCCAGGCCAAATTGGCATTGGTCACAGGTATGAAAGTTGTTCTACTCATTGAGATCTTCAAATCTGAAAATTTTGGTAATTTTTAGAGATAGTTGATTTGTTCGGCGAGTCGGGATGGATAACCGCCACCCACGGCGGCGCGTGGCCAAAGGGCCGCCAATGCTATTTTTAGGCTATATTTGATGCCTTGAATTCATTTTTGAGAATTGAATAACGTAAATTGATCGTTATAACCAAAATTCTACAAGATACGTTAATAGGCCATTATCTGAATCGACGATCCGACCGTTGGATCGTCATCAAACTTTAATAGGTTATTCATCAAACTTTAATAGGTTATTATTCATAATATTTGAGGAATATAGGAACTTACAGATTGGGAATCCGACATACGGATCTTCTTGAATTAGAATTGTAAGTTTGTAAAATAGTTAACCGCCACTTGGTTTTGGCAATTGGCGGAGATCCGACCGTTGGATCGTTTTGAAACTTTAATATGTTATTCTAGAAGCATAATATGGATCCTTGGAAGTTACGGATCAGAGATCTGATTTGTAGATCTTCTGGACCGAACTACGTAGACTCATGTGCGATGTAAGTCATGTATTGTATCAACGAGAATTTTGAGATATGGTTTGATAATTGGTCATAGGCGCCGATCGTTTGTGACGCCTCGATGTTTGTACTAGGAAGTTGTAGCGCGGACTCCAGGTGAGTGGAGCTTTCCTTGCTTATCATATTTTTCGTGATTGATAATTCTATGAATGCTTTTAAATAAAATTGAGAAATTTATGCTATGACATATATATACTTATATGTTATAAAATACTATGAGATAGTTGAGTTTAGACTTCTTCATGATATATCCATATGCGTATTACCATAAATGATTAGTGTGAACTACGAATGGCTTAATCCCTGCTTAGGGTACGTAGGCAGTCTAACGAGACGTTAGATGCAGCCATATAAGAAATGAGATTAAATAATCGAGACCATAGCCTTGTTTAAGGAATTGAGCAATGTGTGTGGGCTTTTGGTTTTCAGTATATATTTATATACTTTGTTTATACCATATTTAGGGCCTCGTATGTAGATCTCGTACAAATACTTGGGGGACTTAAATGTAATTATGTGATAAAGGAAGGGGTAAATATGTAATAAGTGAGGAGCCCTTATTCTATAAAAGGACTCCTCACCCCTCACCCTTACAATGAGGGGAGGCTATTTCTTAAGCCTTCTCACCCTTCTCACATCCCCTATCATATTCAAAGGTTCTCTCCCTCACCTCTCAGATAAATACAATATCAGTGTGGACGTAGCCCAAACCTTGGGGTGAACCACGATACATCTTGTGTTATTTACATTTCATGCAGATTCATGGTCGGATTTACGTTGTTCCAAGACCTCCATCAACATTTGGTGCCGTCTGTGGGAATCGACACGAAAAGATATGTCCGTTCTTTCTTAATTTTTCACCTCAGCCGTGAATCTGCAAAACCCACACAGAGACACAGAAACAGAGCTCTCTCTCTCTCCATGCTCACCAATCCACTCTAAATTCCAAATTCTAGAGCCATAATCAAGATCTGTCTTATAAATGGAGGTCTCATTACAAGGCAAGTGTTTACAAAACGGCTGTGCCACAAACTCCAACATTAGTCCAAGTTCCTTCTAACCAATACTAGCATCAATACGTAGGGTTCCCTTTAGATTGCTGACCACCATACACCATATCTCGTCCTCTTTTTCGACCCATTCTTGTCCTGTCTTTTACTTTTCTTTCTCGGCATACCCTGTGAATTAGCAAGAATTTTTGCATATAAAGTAGGGGTCTTTTCTTCATCAATTTTCCCATCAGCGTTCAGTATGGTCTTCAGCCTACCTTCAGATGAGCCCTTAAACTCTTCTCATTCAAACAGACAACTCTAGGGCATAACTTGCATTTGAAAGTTGATTTGCATTTCACGATACAGTCTAGTAAATCTACTGGTATTTATTCCTCGTTTGGCATGATGTAAGATTCTTCCTCTAGTAATTCTGAACCACTTTTACCAAGCAACTGATCGGCAATAAGATATGGTATTTCATGTCCTGTTGAAGCATCATCATCTTTCAAAGCTTTATTAGCTGAGCTATCCTCACTCTGATATCCAGAGGAGGTAGAGCAAGATTGAGCATCGTCCTTGAGTTGTTCGACTGCATCATATTCTTCTTCTTCATCGGAGTCGTCTGTGGCTTGTGGTTCTATTTCCGAATTTGAGGATGAAGACAAATTTGAGGGGCCATCTTTGTCGCCATGTTCTAGCTTGTAGAATCGCCGCTTTATCATTTCTCTGACTTAGAGAGAGAGAGGAGAGGAGAGGAGAGAGGGTGGCGGCTGAGCGGGGAAGAAATGAGATGGATGGCTTTGGCCCATGAGAAAAGAGTCCAGATCTGCTGTGCCCTGGTGTTGGTTTCTGCTCCATTTGGGTCTCCAATGGCGAGTTGGGTCCTTTCTGAATGCGGCCTAAAGCCTCTCCCGCAAGTTTGGAATCGACCCAGAACCGCAATTTGCTCTAGCTACCCGTCAAAAGTTTGGGTTTTTTGGTCAAACCAGAGCTTGGCGGATCTGAGATGGGATTCGACCAAAATCGCAGATGGGTTGTTTAGAGAGAGAAGATGGGGTCTTAACGTGAGCGCTCCGTTGAGGGTAGCTTCAGTCGAAAAGGAGGATGAGAGGGTTAACGGCGTTAATGGCGGAGAAGAGGAGGTGGGATTTGATCTGGGTGCACCGCCGCCATTCAAATTAGCCGATGTTAAAGCTGCCATTCCGAAGCATTGTTGGGTTAGGGGCCCGTGAAGGTCAATGAGCTATATGGTGAGGGATTTGGCCTTTGTATTGGGCTGCTCAAGGAACAATGTTTTGAGCTCCCTGAGTCGGCCAGGGTTGGGGTCAAGGCCAGCAGTGATTGGGTCATGGACAGCGTGGGCAAAGCGACAAGATAAGATTCTTCATCATCATGAACCTGCCCATTTTCTGAAAACCAACTGTCGACCACCAACTTCTGAATCATGCATGTTCCTCTTTTCAAAAAAAGAATAAACTCCCCACCAGAATGATGTGATTTACTTTTCTTGTTTTTGTATGATGTAATTTATTTTTCTTATCTTTCGGAGACATATGTATAAACCCCATCAGAGGGTAATAATACCAAAAAAAAAGGGCAAAAGCCTAAAATAAATGGGTTGGAATGTTGTGTAAAGGGCGAAGACCCATAAGCCCAAAATAGCTCCAACCAGGCGATCAAAAGTACGCCCAGTACTCCACAATTATTCAACAACCTGCCGCTATTACCACCAACCAGGTGATCAAAAGTATGCCCAGTACTCCCAAATTATACATAAGCATTACTCATGTCAGTCATACATAAACATTCATGAGTATTACTCCTATCAATCATACATAAACATTCATGAGCATCACTCATGTCAACATCCATGAGCATCACTCATGTCAACATTCATGAGCATCACTCATGTCAACATCCATGAGCATCACTCAACATAAACATTCATGAGTATCACTCATGTCAATCAGCTTCAAAAGCTTCATTTACAAAAGCTCTAGCTTCAAAAGCTTCATTTACAGAGCTCTATCTTCAAAAACTTCATTTACAAAGCTCTAGCTTCAAAAGCTTTATTTACAGAGCTACAGTTTCAAAGCTTCACTTGCAAAGCTTTACCTACAAAGCTTCAATTCAAGGTATACAAATACCGCTTCCGAACAACCGCCACTTCGGCCCATACATGGATTCAATTTGAAGTCTCCAGCCAACAGACTCTATTGACCGAAGACTTGGGGGACTACATTATGTACCATATATTGGGCCTCAACTGGGCCATATGGAAAATACTTGGGGGACCTAGCCCATTATCTATGTACTGAGGAGCGAGCCCTTATTCTATAAAAGGAATTCCCTCACTTTCATTAGTCACTCATGAAAAATACTTGGGGGACTTAGCCCATCACTTATGTATTGAGGAGCGAGCCTTTATTTTATAAAAGGGACTCCCTCACCTTCGTTAGAGAGCATCGCCGCCAGTTGCGTAACTGCCTCGCCGCGAGCATCACTCCTAACCCATTATTCATGTACTGAGGAGCGAACCTTTATTTTATAAAAGGGACTCCCTCACCATCATTAGAGAGTATTAACTCTAGCCTATCATTCATGTATTGAGGAGCGAGCCCTTATTCTATAAAAGGGACTCCCTCACCTTCAACGCTACAAGCTGAGCTAACCAAGGCAACATAAGCCACGAGCCTCGCAGCCTCGCAACATGTGCTACTTCTAGTTGAACATCAGTTCAAGACAACATCTAGTTACTTCGGCCCACACATGGACTAAATTTCAAGTCTCCAGCTAAAAGACTCTCTTGACTAAAGACTTGGGGGACTACTGTTTATATCATATTTAGGGCCTCGTATTTAGATCTCGTACAAATACTCGGGGGACTTAAATGTAATTATGTGATAAAGGAAGGGGTAAATATGTAATAAGTGAGGAGCCCTTATTCTATAAAAGGACTCATCACCCTCACAATGAGGGGGGCCATTTCTTAAGCCTTCTCACCCTTCTCACATCCCCTCTCATATTCAGAGGTTCTCTCCCTCACCTCTCAGATAAATACAATATCAGTGTGGACGTAGCTCAAACCTTGGGGTGAACCACGATACATCTTGTGTTATTTACATTTCATGCAGATTCACGGTCAGATTTACGTTGTTTCAAGATCTCCGGTTTTGTGCATCAACATACTTGATATTTTCCCAGAAATATGTTTAAATGAGATTATGCCTTGAATGCCATGCATATAAGTTTATAATTCGTATATGAATTGGTATATGATGCATTATATATAATTGTGTTACTATGAGCGCTCTGAAGTGCAAAGGTGAACGTAGGACATTCAGGTAAGTTCAGTTAAGTTTAAGTAAATTCAAGTAAGTACACGGTATTAGCCATGATGGATAAGACATTTGATGAGATGTGAATATGTCATATAAGTCACTAGAGGCGACTCCGACTTATATGCTAGCCATGATGGATGAGATATGTGATGATGTATGGATATGTCGTATAGGTCACTAGAAGTGACTCCGACTTATATGCTAGCCATGATTGATGAGAGATGTGATGAGATATGAATATGTCGTATAGGTCACTAGAGGTGACTCTGACTTGCGTACTATTATGAGTTATTAATCGCTTGATTATTTGATATTATTGATGAGATGTTGTGTTGTGGTACATTATGATTTCTTTGGAAACTATACATATGTTGTAACGAGGGATTACATGTGTTATATGTTTTCTATTAGTATTTACTTACATTGCCACTCACCCTTGTCTTGTCTTCATCCTCCAGGTATTATTAGCTAAGTTTTATTATCACCAAAGACTCGCAGCGATTCTTAGTATCAGAGACTATTTCGAGGGTACGATTCTTATATCATTTTTCTGTACTTGCTTATGCTCTAACGTCACGTGTGAAGTGAGTTCATTCCTGCTCACCAATGCACTTTGATATTTAGGCACTCTTAGGTTTAAATTTATTCACAATTTTCTTCATCATCACACTTTATGGCTTCGTCACCTTCCAGGTGTCGGCCAGCACATCTCGATTCGGAGTCCTAGTGGACATTATGGGTCGGGGTGTGTCAATGAAGCCCAATAAAAAATATAAACACTAAATTGACCATATGCTTATACCAGAAGAACCATTTTAACATTTAAGCCTTTTAAGAAAGAGTCCACAAAACTTACTTCTTCCTAAAGTTGTGGCTATTCAGATTTCTTTGCACTTGCAGCGAACATGTGGTACGAACAGTATTTTTCTTTATATATTTATTTCTTCTGAAATTTTTATATTTTATAATTGTTAGCTCAATGAAGGGGTCAAACTAGTTATATTATTTTTTGTGATTAAAAGGTGGCCAAGTACACATTGGAAAAAGTTATCAAACGGTTTATTTTATGTTAGTGTATTTTTATGTTTTTCGTTAGAATTAATTAGATTACTTTCCAGTTTGTTTTAGAATTAGGTCTTTATAAATACATGTTGTTAGTTAGTACAAAAATAAATGTAATCTTTTGGTTATGTAGGCATTTTAACAATTTTTAGCCTTCTTTATTTTGTGTTTATGGAACAAGAGCATTTGTAAATAATTTTTTCTTTTTTCTCATTCTTTTTTTTTTGTTAATAAAAAGTTTAGGGGTGCAGGAGGATATCCCATCCCAAGATCAAGGCATACGCAAGCCTTATGGAAGACTTACAGAAGGGGTCTTAGCCCCTTTTTTCGTTTTTACGATCATCTACTAAGAGGGATTGTCAGCAGCTGAACTTGAACATAAAATTTGATCTAGCGAAGAGAATAATTCTTACCAACTTAACCAACTCTTGTTAGCTCTTCTTTCTCATCCTTTTATTTGTTAACAACACTCAGATATATTATTAATTACGAGGAATCTCGAGTGATGTTAATGATGCCACATATATACACCACATCACCATATAATGTGGCAAGTGATATTACAACTAGCAATGAGATAAGCACATTAATTGAGGTAACATGTAATTATCAGGGTAAATTACATAAAACTACCTCAACTATTGGGTCATTAACAGTTTCATACCTCTTCTTTAAAAAGTTTCAATATCATACCTTATCTTTGATTTTGTTGCAATGTCATACCTTCCGTCAGTTGTCTGTCAATTCCTTTGTTAAATGCTGACGTGGCATAAGGTGGGCTCACTTTTTATTAAAAAAATTAATTAAATATTATTAAAAACTAAAAAAATCATTTAAAAATTTTTAAATATTAAAATAATAATTAATTAAAGAAAAGTTTAAAAAATAAAAAATAAAAAAAATAAAAACCCCAGTTCGTCTTCCACACCCCCTTCTCCCCTCACTGAGCCCACTCCCTCTCTCTCTAATCCCGCTTACAAACCCCTCCCCTCACCTTCTTCCCCAGCCTACCCGTCCCCTCACCTCCCTCATTCACCACCAAAACGATGGTGTCGATCCGAACCCAGACTGGGAACTGGATCGCAGTCCTCGAATGGGTGTGTGCATGTTGTTCAAGTTGCTATTCATGTTGGGATGGAAATGGTGATGTCAGTTGCAAAGAAAAAAAAAAGGGAATGGTGATGTTGCTGCAGAAATCGCCCCATATTTGGGGATTGCCATTTTCCAAATCCGTAATTTCTTACCTACTTGGGCGAAGTGGGTGCTTTTTGTGGTTGTTTGGGTCGATTCGGGGAGGAATTTTTGAAAATGGAGCTCGAATCAAAGATGGAGGAGGAGAGGACGGCGGTGGGTGAGTGGTTCTGGTTTTGGTGGTGCAGGAGAGAGGTGGGGGAACGGGTAGGCTGGGGAAGAAGGTGAGGGGAGGGGTTTGTAAGCGGGATTAGACAGAGAGGGAGTGGGCTCGAGTGGGGTAAGAAGGGGGTGGGGAAGACAAACTGGTTGTATTTTTTTTAAAAATTTTTCTTTAATTAATTATTAGTTTAATATTTAAAAATATTAAATGATTTTTTTAGTTTTTAATAATATTTAATTAATTTTTTTAATAAAAAGTTAGTCCAGTCTCAAGCCACGTCAGCATTTAACAAAAAAATTGACGGACAACTGACAGAAGGTATGACATTGAAACTTTTTAAAGACGAGGTATGAAATTGTTAATGACCCAATAATTTAGGTAGTTTTATGTAATTTACCCTAATTATCACTTGTCAGAACAAATGGTACACCTGTTGTATATGTGGTTTCTCTAACATTATTTGGAAATCTAATTATTAAGAGAATAAAACATATCAGATGTGTGAGAAATTAAGGAAAATTTGGAAAATCTATTTATTTTATTATTATTATGATCACCTCTCCATTGGAAGGTTGAAACAAACGACATACATATACCATCTCTTTCGACAAACAGGAAATCAACTACATGAAACATGAGTGCCCTACAACCGTCTAATATTACAAGGAAAGGAAAATATGGACCTTTAACAAATATCGCATAAATAAAACACGTTACATCAGCAGCTGCGTGGAAACTCGTTGTCTTTCTCTTCTTCGTCTTTGTGTGGTGATAAGGCGCGCTGTTCGACTTCTTCTTCCTTTACCTGCAAAGATATATATATATATATATATATATATATATATATATATATATTATTGTTACTTGTTAGGTCTCTGTCATTGGTCTATTTGTTACACTTGAGTACTACTAAATATCAAGAAACTTTAATTGAGTAATGACGATATGCTGGAAATGCATTAAGCTTGCATATGCCAATATGGATTATTAGACAAAAAAGGAAGTAAACACTAGTGTATTATAATTTTATAGCTAGGGATGTTTTTTGTCAAATTATTTGGCGATTGCTTGCAGTTGTATGGATATGATCTAAAAACATAGAATGGAGAGGCTTACCAACTGGATGCAACTAAGCTCTCAATATCTAGTAGTGGTGAGGAGGTGGGGGTGATGAATAGATGTAAGCGGGTGGTGGGTGAACTGTTGGAGGTGTTGGTGGCTTGTAAGGTTTAATAGGTGGTGGTGGTGGTGAGTGAACTGGTGGTGGAGGAGACTTGTGGACTGGAGGGGGTGGTGGGGGAGACGTGTAGTGGTAAGGCTTCTTAGGTGGAGGTGGTGAGTGAACTGGGTGGTGAGGCTTCTTGTGTGGTGGTGGTGGTGGTGGGGATTGGTAATGGTAAGGCTTCTTTGGTGGTGGGGGTGAGTGCACCGGGTGGTAGGGCTTCTTGGGTGGTGGTGGAGGAGACTTGTAATGGTAAGGCTTCTTTGGTGGTGGTGGGGAGTGCACCGGGTGGTAGGGCTTCTTGGGTGGTGGTGGAGGAGACTTGTAATGGTAAGGCTTCTTTGGTGGTGGGGGTGAGTGCACCGGGTGGTAGGGCTTCTTGGGTGGTGGTGGAGGAGACTTGTAATGGTAAGGCTTCTTTGGTGGTGGGGGTGAGTGCACCGGGTGGTAGGGCTTCCTGGGTGGTGGTGGAGGAGACTTGTGATGGTGAGGTTTCTTGGGTGGTGGTGGTGGAGACTTGTAGTGGTAAGGCTCCTTTGGTGGGGGTGGTGAGTGCACTGGAGGAGGAGGTGGTGGTGGGGACTTGTAGTGGTAAGGCTTTGGTGATGGTGGTGGTGACTTGGGGTGGTAGGGATGCTTAGGTGGTGAGTACACTGGAGGAGAAGGAGAAGGAGGTGGTGGTGACTTGTAGTGGTAGGGAGGAGAAGCCGGTGGTGGTGGAGATGAGTAAGGGTAGTTAGCTGAAGTTTCTGAAGGCAATGTGAGAGAGACTAGTGCCACTAGTATAGTGACCACAAGAGAGGTCACTTGTGAAGGCCCCATTTTCCCCATCTTTGTTAAGAATGGGATTTCTGCCTCTTAAGCTAAGCCTTCTCACCCTTTATATAGCTTTGGTCTTTACCTTTAACACCACGGTAATCATGCCAAATTTCACTTGCAATTATTAATTACCTTAGTAAAAAATAAGATTAATGTTAAAATAAGACTAATGGGGCCACTGTTTGAATAGATTATCAATTAATGTTTGGATCAAGGAGGCCTTTGACTGAATTTTGTTAAGCCCTGCCCTTTTTTTAATGGAAAGGATTGTCTGCCCTTCCTTTTTCCATGCCCTTCCATGCCCTCTTGTTTGTGTGGTCACGGTTAAGCCACGTCAATATTTTATATTACTATTCATTTTTGTTTTATTATCTTTATAAAAAATATATAAAATGTTAACGTGGCTTAACTGTGATCACACAAAACAGGAGGGCATGGAAAATGGAAGGGCAGACAATCCTTGTCCTTTTTTAATATCTTGCTTCATGGAGTAGATGGTTCATTGTAAACGTAGATAATAATAAATAAATATAGGAGAAGATTGTAGCAATTGCCTCTCAACTTTAACCCAATTAGAGCAATTGTTCTTCAACTAAAAATCCATGATCATTGGTCTCTTGACTCATCAAAACGTGCAGCTATGATTTTTTTGTTAACTCCGTTAGAATTCTGTCAAAATAAGTTATGTTTGAATAACCATTGCTACAATTACGTTAAGGTTGAAGGATCATTACTCTAATTGAGTTAAAGTTGAGAGACTATTTCTCTAGTTGGGTTAGAGTTGAGAGACCACTGCTACAATTTTTCTCATTTGGTTTTTCATATTTGTCCTTCGATTCAGCCTCATTGCATGAAACGTGACTCATTTTGATGGACGTTCTTATGGAATTGATGAAAATGACTATAGTTGCATGTTTGAAAGAATTAAGGGACCAATGATCATAAATTTTTATTTGAGAGACCATTACTTCAATTTTATTAAAGTTAAAGAACCATTGCCATAATTTTCTCTAGATATAGAGATATAATTTTCACACACCCTCTTATTTGTGGTGCACATCGTTGTTTAATTTTAGCATTTAAATTGATTAAAGAAAAAAAAATTAAAAATTAAAAAATAAACAAGAACTTGCTAAAATCATTAACCATTTCCCTAAACCTATCACCTAAGGTGTGATTATTTTTGCTTTAATAAGGTTTAGTTTAATGCAACAAGAGTACGTAGCAGAAAGGCTAGCTACCAAGAGATGGAGCTTTATTTCTGGGTTAATAATTTAAACAGAAAGTCTTCCCTGAATTTATTTGTGAAATATTTTTCATGATCGACATCTTTGAAAATGTGCGTGGTTGCCTAACTTTCTATGGTTCTTTCTGCTCAGATGAGGGACCAGTCGGCTGCGAGACTCATGTCTCTCTCTCTCTCAAATAATCCAGACTTTAGTACGTAGTCTGTCACATTCACAATTTTCATAGCTTTTAACTAATTGACTCGAATATCTCTGACTGTGAAGGTTTAAGATACAAATATTTACGATCCCATTTGCCTAATAATACAGGTTTTAACTAATTATTCATTTCCAAATACGAATAATCTTTCATTGTGCAGTGAATGCTAGCTAGCTAGATTTGTCTTGCTAGTTGTTCCAAACAATTACAACAAATTAAGAAGGAATAAAGAATGAAAACAAATAAATAAAAGATGCTTAAATGTTTAATTAAGCATGTTTAACTAGACTTACAATCTCATTATATTGATCACCCCAAGAATGTGAAATTCCTTCCCAAGTTCCACCTTCCCAAGTTTACCAAAAAAAAAAAAATTCACTTTACATCAATCAACATGCACGATGAGCTGTTCAGATAATATATTTTTTTCTGTACAATCATTAATCATATTAGTACTTATTTTTCTGTACAATCATTAATCATATTAGTACTTACTTTTCAAACAGCATTAGTAGGGATGGTTTTAACTAGTGAAGGTCTGATTCGTTGACACATTTACGTCCTCTACAAAAGCACATTCATTAATTTTGATGTATAACAAGAAGAGTTTTTAGTTAAACTTATGATTTTTGAGATTGTCATAATTCTTCGTTTTAGTTTCTAAGATTACAAAATCGATAGACGTGGTTTTTGACTTTATCCACCATAAATTATTTTGATCATTCAGTAAAAAATCTATCAATATCATCATTGAGTTGTTACATGAGCGACCATGTAACCACCCTTTTAAATGTATTTTTTTATCAAACCAACCCCTTTTAACCAAAATAGTTCCTGATATCGACATGACTCTTTATTTTAGTCCCTAACAATGAAAACTGATAGAAGTGGTCATTGAGTTTGACCATCGTAAATCATTTTGTTCCTTCCTTGAAAACTCTATCAATATTCTTGTTAAGTGGAGGGGTTGGTTTGGTAAAAATGCCCTTTAAAAGGTGATCACGCGGTCGCTCACATGACAATTTAACGAGTATATTGATAAATTTTTCATAGAATGACCAAAATGATTTACGATAGACAAACTCAAGGACCACATCTATTGATATTCATTGTTAGTAATCAAAATGAGAGGTTATACCAAACTCGACCATTTTGGTTAATAAAAGGAGTTAGTTTGACAATACTATGGAAAAGGTTGTCTTGTGGTCGCTCATATGACAATTTAAAGATGGTGTTGACAGACTTTTCACGGATGCACCAAAATGATTTACGGTGAACAAACTCAGGGATTACTTCTATCAATTTTCAATATTTGGGACCAAAGTAAAGAGTTGTACCAATCTCTAAGACCATTTTGATTACAAAGCCTAAAACTAAGGGTAATGCCACAGAGACTAAATTTATAGACAAAATTTGTAAACTAAATAATGTGTCACCAATAGGAATAAGCATGTTTATTAACACTTAAGTAATAAACCAATCATTAACTTTTATGTCTTTTAGTTTTTAAAATTTTGTCTACAAATTTAGTCTCTCTAGCATTACTCCAAAACTAATGAATATTTTGGTGTAATTCTCACACCATTTAATAACTTACTGACCACAAGTGGCACTCTACCACAGTAGTGGAGACTAGTGGTGGCCTTGCACCACGACGTGGATTCGAACCCCGTCAATTCTCTAATCTAACAAATATATTGTTTGACAAAAAAAACAAAACACTTACTCATCGTTCATATTACAATGTATAAAATATATCACATGACAGACTATTACAATGAGAACGACACAAACTAATATTTTTCTTTGTCACTTTTCCTTTATTTTCTGTTTATTTATTTTTAGCTTCTATAGTCACCATACCTTTCATTTGTACAATATTGATGCACAAAATCAGTGAGGACTTTGGTATAACAGAAAGTGTTAAGTTTGTGACCTTCGCTAGATTGCTCCGGTCACTAGTGTGGATAAGTATGCAAATGGATAGAGACAGGGAAGCAAACACAAGATGTATGTGGTTCACCCAGATTGGCTACGTCCATAGAGTAGAGGAGTTCTTATTAATTGTGAAGGGTTTACACAAGTACATATGTTCAAACTCTTCTTTAGTGAGTACTAGTGAATGATTTAGTACAAATGACATTAGGAAATATTATGAGAGAATGATCTCTATTTATAGAAGAGAGTTTCTAGTTTCATTCTGACATTGACACATGTCGTGTTGTGATTGACTTCTGATGTTGACACGTGTCGCGCTATGATTGGCTTCTGATGTCGACACGTGTCACGCTGTGATTGGCCTCCTGGTTGGAGGGAAACACTTATGGGTCCTTGACGGTATAACTTTGACCGGTGCTCAGTAGTTTTGGGATTGGTCAAGTATGGTACAAACAGTGATCCCCTAAGCTCCCGAGTAAGGGAAGCTCCTCGGTTAGGGACTTACAAGATCCAAGCTATTAAGTAATCACGAAACTTCTAAGTACCGAAGTGTGGTATCATTTTCACTTGTCTTATCTGTCTCATATGTAGATGTGGCATCTTCTCTAGAGGTACTTTTCCTCTATCCATGGGTGGTATCTTTAACCGATGAAGATGCATAAGGTAATGTATCAATTTCACTTGAAGCTTACTTGTAATTTCGAGCTTGGTCATGTGCGATACAAACCCTGTAGTAGGAGTCCCCCAAGTCGTCGAGCTAGGAGATTTGCCGAGAGAGGTAACAGAAAAGGTAAGCAATCAGACTTCCAAGCAAGCAACCTGGATCAGAGGTTCAACTTCGGCTTCCGGTTGATTGTTCTCCTTCTCCTTGTGTCTTAAATAGCAACAAGGATAAGGAGAAACAAATGGAGAAGAGATGATATGAGATACTTTTGCTTTTGAAGAAGTAACTTTCCACATGCTTATTCTTGAACTGGGCTGGAGGGTTTTCTGGTTTCCTCCAGAGTATAAGGCCGACTCAAGAATTTGAGGGTCAAAACAAGTCCATCAAATCTAGAGTACGTTCGACCCTGATGATATGGGATACTTTTGTTGTTGACAAAGTAGTGGATGTATCGGCACGTGTTCTGTTACGCTTGTCTCCACTTGCTTCCTTGTATCCTTCTCACTTGCCTTATCTGTTCCTCAGGCAGATATGGTATCTTCTCTGAAAGCATAAGATGTTGAAGATGAGTACTCGAGAGCAATGTCAGGTAAGTAATCAGGCAAGAGGTAGTTCCTGACTTGAAGCTTGATTTCAAGCGCTGACTGATTGCTCTTTTTCTCCTTGTCTTGTAGGTAAAAACAAGGCCAAAGGAAAAAACAGGGAAAAAGCATGATATGGGATACTCTTGCTTTTAACCCTGATGATATGAGATACTCTTGCTCTGGTGTGGCTTGTTTGCAGAGGTATTATCGGGAGGAAAAAAAGCTGAGTATTTCATGAGACTCTGCTGAGGGTGCCTTCTCGGATGTGAAGAAAAGTTGAGCATTTTTTTTTATTTGTAGGTCTGCCTGGTTGTGGAGGATGGAGGTCGATATATATATGAGTCTCCCTAATAACAAGTAGTAGTGCTATTTCTTTACCCTTCTTGGTCATAGCAATGTAATGGGAGCTGCA